GAATACTCAGGAGTGAGATATAGACAGGGTGTCGGAATACTCAGAAGTGAGATATAGACAGGATGGCGGAATACTCAGAAGTGAGATATAGACAGGGTGTCAGAATACTCAGGAGTGAGCTATAGACAGGGTGTGACAGGATGTCAGATTACACAGGGGTTGGCTTAGAAAGGATATCAGTTGTCAGATTAGGTTTCACTGTCTTTGTTATAGGGCTGAACGATACATTAACATGACAATAGGGGATATGTTCACAATACTGTTGTCACGAAACAATGTGTATCACGATACATATAGTAACAGTAGAAGCAAAGAGAAAAGATATATTGCAGATTTTTAATGGCAATATTACAACTGGAAATAGACTTGGTCCAAAATGGGCATGACTTTAAAGTTTAATTCACACAATTCCGGTCTTTCGACGTGGATGCCGAGCTGGAGCTGTCACTCGCCATGTGGAAACGAATATGAATAGACAAAATCCAGAAAATATTGTAGCCGTATTATGACCTCCCAAAAACTATTTTGTATCTATTGTCCCGTATTCAAAATATCTCGACATATCGTCACACGATATATGGTTGCAGCCCCACTTTGTATAGGTATACAGGTGTTTCAGTGTTCACTGTTCTTTAAACAATACTCAAATGATTCGTAGAAGTGAATTAGGAAAGTGTTACACATGCAATAATTTTCTTTATCTGTTGGTAGAGTCGCTGTAAGATGATAGAGGACCCAGAGAAACTGCGAGGGCATGCTGAGGCCTTTGTCGACAAGTCTGTGGCACTTACGGATGCATGCCTCATATTTTCCCCATCACAGGTAGATTTGTTTTTGTTGTATATCAGTTAAAACAATAAGATTCCTGAGGTTTAATATCTAACTAAAGTGAGGGTTCCCAAAATGAAACACTTTTCATATACCAGATGCAGCATTTATATTTTGCAATACAAATGAATGGTATCTATATTTGAAATCAGAATTTTTAAAGTTTTAAGCGATTGGAGCAAATTTTGTCTGTCTACTTCTGGTATGTTGCTCATGAACTCAACTGAAAAATAAAAAAAATAATGAAAAGAAAATAATTCCCGGGAAATGGTACTTCGCGACAAAATAATTTCTAGACATGGACAAATATTTGTTCAAATGAAATTTTTAATGATTAAATTATTTAAATTCATCAAAAAGTGTCATTTTTTTTTTAAATGATTTTTTTTTTAAATACTGTTACGTATTTCCATAAACTGACTTAAATGATGAGGTGTTCTATTTTGGGTGCCCTGTAGCAAGCTGGAACTTCCAAGTTAACCTGAATCAAACAAATGAGCTCTATTAATTGACATCAAAATTTGACACATGATGTCGGGTGGTGCAGTGGATAGCGCACTTGCCTTTCACCAAGGCAGCCGGGGTTTGATTCCCCAATCGGGCGTGAATAAGGTTTGGGTCACCTGCCCGACCCCGTGGGTTTTCTCCGGGTACTCCGGTTTCCTCCCACGTTGATACTCCCTGCGCAATTACATCCGGGCCAACAAGAATGATTAATATAAATTGAAATAACTTGTTTCATAATTGTTGTAAAATAAATAAAGTTTGTATAAATAATTGACACACGTGCTGGAGATCATTAAAATTAAACCTATAGGTATCTACAGTATTGTTTCTAAAACACTTGTTTTATTAAAAAAGCATTACCTCATTCAACCCTGAAGACACATTTGAACTCTTCCAATTGAAAAGGCTGGGATAGTTCATTATGAAATTGCAGGGGTGAATGAATTAAGTACAAATGTCAGCACCTTCAGCCGTTCTTTTTAAGAAAAATGGAAAATTAGTTAGAACCTGTCGTTAAAAACTTTGGGTTTGACATCATGCTTGTTTCCAACAGATCGCACTGGCTGCTATCCTTACCAGCGCAGCCCAGGTTGGCAAAAACATGGACAGGTAACTCAGATTCCATTTCCTCAGAGATAATGTAAAGAGTGTAGAGGTATTCATTTTGATGAAGCTCTGGCGAGCTAGAAGTAAGGCTCCAGGCTGGAGTTTCATTAATTTTCATAAAGATTTTTTAATCACTTGCTTCATGACTGGGTTTTTTCAGGGAGAAATTCATGCACGAATTATATGAGTAAAATTTCACCTACACAAATCAGTCACTTGACAAGTTTTATTGTACACAGCATAGTATGAATAACATTTCCGTTGTGAAGGATGAATTAAACACTGCAAAAGTTTCCCAGTATAGGAAATCCTCTTGACAATTTCTTGAAAAACACAAATCTGTCCCAATGTTGGAAAGAAATATACTAGTGGGTTCTGAGTGTCTAGGTATTATTTCTATAGTAAAGTGTATCAAATAATTCCAAACCCTGGCCTTGAGACTAGCTCCCAGCTGCCACGGCTGTAGGGTACAGGTGACAGTTTGTGATGTTTATTATAACCATTTTGTTTCCTCAGCTACGTCACAGGGATTTTACTACAGGGGGCAACAAAAGACGAGCTTGAGAAAACGATATACCAGATAAAACGTGAGTGCCTTCACTGGTCTGTTTATATTGTGGAGTAATTGTCCTACTACCTAAGAACAGTATACAGTGATAGAGGGCCTTCACTGGTCTGTTTATATTGTGGATCCCGGAGTAATTGTCCTACTACCTAAGAACAGTATACAGTAAACAATTAGCTACCCAAGGACGAAAAGCTATGTTTGCATTGTTTTCAAAGTGTTCATCATTAAACTTAAATGTAAAAACTATGCTACACCTTTTCGATACATATGTAAGCAGTATCCTTTTTTATGCAAGTGAAATTTGGTGTATGCACAAAGCTCCAGAGATTGAACGTGTACATTTACATTTTTGTAAGAAATTACTAAAAGTAAAGAAATTGGCCAGTAACAATATGGTATATGGTATCTTGAATTGGGACGATGTTTGGTTAAATCCATGTATTTCTCAGCATAATATGTTATTACCATTGATAAAACAAAGAATTTTTTATCAAGGCATACAATCCCTAATGGCCTCAGTGGAAAACTCTCCAAAAGGTTTATTGTATAAAAATATCATAGATTTTGGAGAATCATTACAATTTTACCTCACAAAATATATACCAATGAAATAACGCATTTGTTTAACTAGAATCCGTACATCTACACATTCTTTGGCTGTAGAAGTTGGAAGGTATAACAATATACCTAGAGAACGTAGATATTGTAAACAGTGTAACTCCCCCTCTGAAGTAGAGGGCGAATTTCATTTTTATTAGTCTGTTCAAAGTTCCAAAATCTCAGATCCCGTTCTATCAAAAGCCATTATTGGAAAAAAACATCTGTGTTTAAAAATGTTCAGTTATTGAGTGTCCATACTATTAAAGAATTGTGTATACTAGGAAAAGTCATCTATGAGGCAAACAAATTAAGGGTATTATAATGGAATATGATTGTCTTCATTCTCTGTACATTGTCCATAATTTGTGTATAATATGTATTGTATACTGATGGGCCAATGGCCTTAAGTTCGAATAAAACTTGTAACTTGTAAACTTGTAACAGTGATAGAGGGCCTAACGTGTTGTCTGTGGTGTTGTGGTCTATTGAGTTAAGGAATGACGGACATATTGGGGTTTGTTAAGCCACCCCCTGTCAGCCCATTTATCACATAACTGACGCATTTTACTATGTCAAACGGCCATGTCACAAATATGGTATTACACAGGTGAAATATAACCTAAAGGTGCTCAGTGGTTTGTTACCTAAAATTTACAACAGCCCGTTCCTTAATTAATTGGGAATATCCACCTCACTTTTTGGTTATTTTGGGGAAATAAAGCGCTTTTTAGCCAGAGGAAACGGCCTGTATTGGGCTGTAAAACTGAGCAAAAAAAATCACTGGTGCTGCGATTGGTCAAAACCGTGGGACATATTCCTATGACAACACAGTAACTGCTTTTACTCAATATTATACCACATGATAAATTTACTGTTATTCTGGATAAATTTGAAATGTTTATTTCGTCATCATCATTTTCATTGCATTTAAAACTGCTCATTATAAAAAAAAATAGTCAAACTAATTTGCACTGCAATTAACGACTCCACTATGATAGGAGTACTTTGGTTTTAACTTTATAGAGTCTTATGTCATATCAAATTATTGAACTTGGAAATTAGTGTTGTGACAGTTTTACTCTAGAATACCTACAGACCCTATAGACCACTTTGCCTCCTCCAGATATGAACTATTTTATGTTGACTTGTGTTATGGATATCTATGTCTATGGATTTTTTGTCTTGACTAACTCCAGGTTTAAAATATATGGTGAAATCACAGAAGCCATTGGAGAAGGAACAGGTTGGACGTGTACAGAAAAAACTATTGAAATGTCGTAACCAGGACAACAACCCTGACAGTGAACAGTGAGTGTACACATACCACAGTCACACCCAGTAACCTGTTACCGTAACAATCAATAAAACAGATTTTCAAAAATAAACCACATTTCATACTGGTAATACATATATACATTTGACTAAAAATGCAAAAAAAATAGTTTTCTGCCTGATTATTATTAATCAATAAAACAATATTTTGTCAGTTCGATTATTCAGTGATTTATAACTTATAATGAATCATCAAAATAACTCAACATTTAAAGTATCAATTTACTGTTTATTGGTTCAACTGTCTGTTTCCTTATTTAGGTACAAAAGGAAGCTCCGGGAAATGCTGGATGATGACGAGGACCAGCAGACAATCAAACGTACCAAGATCAGTGAGGTATAAATGTGGTACAGTAGATGTAGGATCTCCACACAGCTGATAGTGACAGTGTCAGTGAAGTATAAATGTGGTACAGTAGATGTAGGTTTTCCTCTCAGGTGATAGTGACAGTGTCAGTGAGGGATAAATGTGGTACAGTAGATGTAGGATCCCCTAACAGCTGATAGTGACACGTGTCAGTGAGGCATAAATGTGGTACAGTAGATGTAGGATCACATCACAGCTGATAGTGACAGTGTCAGTGGGGTATAAATGTGTTACAGTAGATGTAGGATCTCCTCACAGCTGATAATGACAGTGTCAGTGAGGTATAAATGTGATAGTGACATTGTCAGTGAGGTATAAATGTGGTACAGGAGATGTAGGATCCCCTCACAGCTGATAGTTACAGTGTCAGTGAGGTATAAATGTGGTGCAGTAGATGTAGAATCTCCTCACAGCTGATAGTGACAGTGTAAGTGAGGTATAAATGTGGTACAGTAGATGAAGGATCCCCTCACAGCTGATAGTGACAGTGTAAGTGAGGTATAAATGTGGTACATGGTTCAACTGTCTGTTTCCTTATTTAGGTACAAAAGGAAGCTCCGGGAAATGCTGGATGATGACGAGGACCATCAGACAATCAAACGTACCAAGATCAGTGAGGTATAAATGTGGTACAGTAGATTTAGGATCCCCTCACAGCTGATAGTGACCGTGTCAGTGAGGTATAAATGTGGTACAATAGATGTAGGATCCCCTCACAGCTGATAGTGACCGTGTCAGTGAGGTATAAATGTGGTACAATAGATGTAGGATCCCCTCACAGCTGAAAGAGACACGTGTCAGTGAGGTATAAATGTGGGACAGTAGATGTAGGATCCCCTCACAGCTGAAAGAGACACGTGTCAGTGAGGTATAAATGTGGGACAGTAGATTTAGGATCCCCTGACAGCTGATAGCGACAGTGTCAGTGAGGTATAAATGTGGTGCAGTAGATGTAGAATCTCCTCACAGCTGATAGTGACAGTGTCAGTGGGGGATAAATGTGGTACAGTAGATGTAGAATCTCTGAAAGTGACAGTGTCAGTGAGGTATAAATGGGGTACAGTAGATTTAGGATCCCCTCACAGCTGATAGTGACCGTGTCAGTGAGGTATAAATGTGGTACAGGAGATGTAGGATCCCCTCACAGCTGATAGTGCCAGTGTCAGTGAGGTATAAATGTGGTAAAGTAGATGTAGAATCTCCTCACAGCTGATAGTGACAGTGTCAGTGAGGTACAAATGTGGTACAGTAGATGTAGGATCCGCTCACAGCTGATAGTGACAGTGTCAGTGAAGTATAAATGTGGTACAGTAGATGTAGGTTTTCCTCTCAGGTGATAGTGACAGTGTCAGTGAGGGATAAATGTGGTACAATAGATGTAGGATCCCCTCACAGCTGAAAGAGACACGTGTCAGTGAGGTATAAATGTGGAACAATAGATGTAGGATCCCCTCACAGCTGAAAGAGACACGTGTCAGTGAGGTATAAATGTGGAACAGTAGATGTAGGATCCCCTCACAGCTCAAAGTGACAGTGTCAGTGGGGTATAAATGTGGTCCAGTAGATGTAGGATCTCCTCACACGTGATAGTGACAGTGTCAGTGAGGTATAAAGGTGGTACAGTAGATGTAGGATCCCCTCAAAGCTGATAGTGACAGTGTCAGTGAGGTGTAAATGTGGTACAGTAGATGTAGGATCCGCTCACAGCTGATAGTGACAGTGTCAGTGACGTATAAATGTGGTACAGTAGATGTAGGATATCCTCACAGCTGATAGTGACAGTGTCAGTGAAGTATAAATGTGGTACAGTAGATGTAGGTTTTCCTCTCAGGTGATAGTGACAGTGTCAGTGAGGGATAAATGTGGTACAGTAGATGTAGAATCTCCTCAGAGCTGATAGTGACAGTGTCAGTGAGGTACAAATGTGGTACAGTGGATGTAGGATCCCCTCACAGCTGATAGTTACAGTGTCAGTGAGGTATAAATGTGGTGCAGTAGATGTAGAATCTCCTCACAGCTGATAGTGACAGTGTAAGTGAGGTATAAATGTGGTACATGGTTCAACTGTCTGTTTCCTTATTTAGGTACAAAAGGAAGCTCCGGGAAATGCTGGATGATGACGAGGACCATCAGACAATCAAACGTACCAAGATCAGTGATGTATAAATGTGGTACAGTAGATGTAGGATCCCCTCACAGCTGAAAGTGACACGTGTCAGTGAGGTATAAATGTGGTACAATAGATGTAGGATCCCCTCACAGCTGAAAGTGACAGTGTCAGTGGGGTATAAATGTGGTACAGTAGATGTAGGATCTCCTCACAGCTGATAGCGACAGTGTCAGTGAGGTATAAATGTGGTACAGTAGATTTAGGATCCCCTCACAGCTGATAGTGACAGTGTAAGTGAGGTATAAATGTGGTACAGTAGATGTAGGATCTCCTCACAGCTGATAGTGACAGTGTCAGTGAGGGATAAATGTGGTACAGTAGATGGAGGATCCCCTCACAGCTGATAGTGACAGTGTCAGTGAGGGATAAATGTGGTACAGTAGATGGAGGATCCCCTCACAGCTGATAGTGACAGTGTAAGTGAGGTATAAATGTGGTACAGTAGATGTAGAATCTCCTCACAGCTGATAGTGACAGTGTCAGTGGGGTATAAATGTGGTACAGTAGATGTAGGATCCCCTCACAGCTGAAAGTGATACGTGTCAGTGAGGTATAAATGTGGTACAATAGATGTAGGATCCCCGCACAGCTGAAAGTGACAGTGTCAGTGGGGTATAAATGTGGTACAGTAGATGTAGGATCTCCTCACAGGTGATAGTGACAGTGTCAGTGAGGTATAAATGGGGTACAGTAGATGTTGGATCCCCTCACAGCTGATAGTGACAGTGTCAGTGAGGTATATATGTGGTACAGTAGATGTAGGATCTCCTCACAGGTGATAGTGACAGTGTCAGTGAGGTATAAATGTGGGACAGTAGATGTAGGATCCCCTCACAGCTGAAAGTGATACGTGTCAGTGAGGTATAAATGTGGTACAATAGATGTAGGATCCCCTCACAGCTGAAAGTTACAGTGTCAGTGGGGTATAAATGTGGTACAGTAGTTGTAGGATCCCCTCACAGCTGATAGTGACAGGGTCAGTGAGGAATAAATGTGGTACAGTAGATGGAGGATCCCCTCACAGCTGATAGTGACAGTGTCAGCGTCTCGATGTCCCAATTAGGATCTCCTCACAGCTGATAGTGACAGTGTCAGTGAGGTATAAATCTGGTACAGTAGATGTAGGATCCCCTCACAGCTCAAAGTGACAGTGTCAGTGGGGTATAAATGTGGTACAGTAGTTGTAGGATCCCCTCACAGCTGATAGTGACAGTGTAAGTGAGGTATAAATGTGGTACAGTAGATGTAGGATCCCCTGACAGCTGATAGTGACAGTGTAAGTGAGGTATAAATGTGGTACAGTAGATGTAGGATCCCCTCACAGCTGATAGTGACAGTGTCAGCGTCTCGATGTCCCAATTAGGCTATGTGATTAGTAGAAATATAAGAGAATCAGGGTCATCTCTGACAATGACAGTGATAAAGTATAACTTACAAAGATGGTGTTGCTATCTTATTATCATCATAAGTGTTGACACAACAACTCTGAGATCTGAGATATGATGGGACTTTTTATTAAATAGTTACATTATGAAAGTAATTTAGCAAACTTTATTGGAAATATAAATTAAAATTCCTACTTTGTTAAAATATGTAATTAAAGGAAATGAATGATTATTTTTTAAATTTTGTTAAAATATTTTTAGAGAGGACCATATTTTGTCGCGAAGGGTTGTTTAGGCATGCTATTGGTAAAAGGGTCCAGATCAAGTATTGATATGTCAGCTTGATATGTCGCTTCGCTCTCCGGGGTAGGTTTTGTAAAACTTGAGAAAGATATAAAGTATTTTTAGTATTACTGAGGACACTTGAGTATCATTCATATCTCATTAGAATTTCCTTGGATCATACCATTTTAGAAAGTACTTGCCATTGCCAGGGCAGCAAGATATTTTAATAATTTATTATTAACCTAATTATTAGAACCTAATTGAACTCCGTGTTTATCATGTGTATCCCCCAATCTATCCCAGATGATACAATTCTGGTGTGTTTGTATTTTCGACAGGAGGAGAAACGTCGAGACAAGGAACTGCTCGGAGTTCCCTGAATTGTGACAGAAATAAAAATCATACAGCAATTCTTTTCGAAGGACAGACAACTATCTTGTGACAACCCTATTAAAAGAGTGTGTAAGACTGAACAATCTTATTGATAGGACGCCGGTCCTTGTTAATCCTGTGCAATGGTAGACAATCTATGGTTAAACAACTTTGTTCAGTGAACATAGAACTTTTGAGAGCATTGTTGGAAGGGCAGACAACTCTTCACACTTCCCGGTTCAAAGGACAGACAACTCTTCACAATCCTTTTCAAAGGACAGACAACTCTTCACAATCCATCAAGGAGCAGAGATCATTTTACTGTTCTGTTCAAAGAGCAGATCACTCTACATAACTCTCTTTAAAGGATAAACGACTTTTCACAACCCTGTTCAAAGAGCAGACATTGTTTCACAACCCTGTTCAAAGAGCAGATAACTCTTCATAAATCTTTTCAAAGAATAAACAACTCTCACAACCCCTTTACAGAGGACAGACAACTCTTCAAAATACGGTCAAGGAGCAGACATCATTTTACAATTCTGTTCAAAGAGCAGATAACTCTTCATAGCTCTCTTTAAATGACTAACACCATTTCACAACCCTGTTCAAAGGGGAGACAACTCTTCACATCTTAACACACCAGTAAAAGACTCTTCTGCCCCAGATCTGATGCTGATGGAGACACAATTTATCTATCTTTATAGTGCTTTTCAAGATGGTGCTGTTAGGTAGCAAATGTTGAGTTCAAATAGCCACAGTTTCTCAAAACAAATTGAATAGGTGTTTGAACTAATATAGCCACACTTTAGCTCAAAAGCAAGCTTGCTCAACTGTTATGTCCAGAATGAATGAAGATAGCGAACAAGCACTATTTGATTCTGAGAAATTATGGTTGGATTTTTTTTCTGTCTCTGCTGAAGACCGTCTGTGTTCAGTTGTGTTAGTGATATCGCTAGGTGTCCTTGTTACGTTTTTATTAAAAAATCAAACATATTCACGTTTTCTTGTTTTGTTGTTTTGTCAAGACTATTTGAAAATGGAATTACATTTTGTATGCCAAGAAGGTGAGCTTATGCCATATAGTGCTGCAGCGATTGTCAGCTTTCCTCTGAATTAGCAATAGGCCTAGGTTGATGGCATTTTGTCTGTAGCATGCCTTATTGAAGAGCTATCAAATTTGTTCAAATAAATGACATTGGCCCACTTTCAAAGTCACAGCAGTCAGATGCATTAAAATGTTTCAATAACTTCTTTTACATAACCGAAAGGCTTAGGGTGATGCTATTTGGCCAGTAGCAAGCTTGGATGAAGAGCTATCAACTTCATTCAAATAAATGACCTTGTTTTTCTTTTAAGGTCACAAGAGTCAATTGTATTAAAACCTTCAAATGCTTTCTTTTTCAACAGCAAAGAGATATAGGGTGATGATATTTCAACATTAGCATGCTGGGATGAGGAGCTATCATTTTTTTAGATAAATTGTTAAAATCTTCAAATAACTTCTCAAGAAGCCATTGGAGAAGGAGAAACTATTTTGTCAATAGTATGCTGCTGGGGTGAAGCCGGGCTTACAGTTTGTTAAAATAAATAGCCTTGACCAATTTTCAAGGTCACCAGGGTCAAATGTATTGAAACTTAGGAGTAATTTCTTGATATCTATGAGGCCTTTCAGTGGATGATATTTGACTAGGACATGCTGGGATAAAGGGCTATCAAGTTTATTCAAATGATCTAATTAAAAATTTCTTTTTCTGAGTAACCAGTTGACAAAGTGGTAGTTTCATGACAAATAGTATGTATCTATAAGATGTGGTGTGCTTTAACTCATTCACCCCAGAAATTTCATAATGAACTATTCCAACCTTTGAATTGGAAGAGCTCAAATTTGTCTGCAGGGGTAAATGAGTTTAAGTGTGGGAACCGAATATGTGACCTAGACCAACTTTGAAGGCCGGCTTATTAAAATAACAATTATCTAGCCAAGATTAGGAAGTCGTACAGTGATAAAATAACAATTATCTAGCCAAGATTAGGACGTCGTACAGTGATAAAATAACAATTATCTAGCCAAGATTAGGAAGTCGTACAGTGATAAAATAACAATTATCTAGCCAAGATTAGGAAGTCGTACAGTGATAAAATAACAATTATCTAGCCAAGATTAGGAAGTCGTACAGTGATAAAATAACAATTATCTAGCCAAGATTAGGAAGTCGTACAGTGATAAAATAACAATTATCTAGCCAAGATTAGGAAGTCGTACAGTGATAAAATAACAATTATCTAGCCAAGATTAGGAAGTCGTACAGTGATAAAATAACAATTATCTAGCCAAGATTAGGAAGTCGTACAGTGATAAAATAACAATTATCTAGCCAAGATTAGGAAGTCGTACAGTGATAAAATAACAATTATCTAGCCAAGATTAGGAAGTCGTACAGTGATAAAATAACAATTATCTAGCCAAGATTAGGAAGTCGTACAGTGATAAAATAACAATTATCTAGCCAAGATTAGGAAGTCGTACAGTGATAAAATAACAATTATCTAGCCAAGATTAGGAAGTCGTACAGTGATAAAATAACAATTATCTAGCCAAGATTAGGAAGTCGTACAGTGATAAAATAACAATTATCTAGCCAAGATTAGGAAGTCGTACAGTGATAAAATAACAATTATCTAGCCAAGATTAGGAAGTCGTACAGTGATAAAATAACAATTATCTAGCCAAGATTAGGAAGTCGTACAGTGATAAAATAACAATTATCTAGCCAAGATTAGGAAGTCGTACAGTGATAAAATAACAATTATCTAGCCAAGATTAGGAAGTCGTACAGTGATAAAATAACAATTATCTAGCCAAGATTAGGAAGTCGTACAGTGATAAAATAACAATTATCTAGCCAAGATTAGGAAGTCGTACAGTGATAAAATAACAATTATCTAGCCAAGATTAGGAAGTCGTACAGTGATAAAATAACAATTATCTAGCCAAGATTAGGAAGTCGTACAGTGATAAAATAACAATTATCTAGCCAAGATTAGGAAGTCGTACAGTGATAAAATAACAATTATCTAGCCAAGATTAGGAAGTCGTACAGTGATAAAATAACAATTATCTAGCCAAGATTAGGAAGTCGTACAGTGATAAAATAACAATTATCTAGCCAAGATTAGGAAGTCGTACAGTGATAAAATAACAATTATCTAGCCAAGATTAGGAAGTCGTACAGTGATAAAATAACAATTATCTAGCCAAGATTAGGAAGTCGTACAGTGATAAAATAACAATTATCTAGCCAAGATTAGGAAGTCGTACAGTGATAAAATAACAATTATCTAGCCAAGATTAGGAAGTCGTACAGTGATAAAATAACAATTATCTAGCCAAGATTAGGAAGTCGTACAGTGATAAAATAACAATTATCTAGCCAAGATTAGGAAGTCGTACAGTGATAAAATAACAATTATCTAGCCAAGATTAGGAAGTCGTACAGTGATAAAATAACAATTATCTAGCCAAGATTAGGAAGTCGTACAGTGATAAAATAACAATTATCTAGCCAAGATTAGGAAGTCGTACAGTGATAAAATAACAATTATCTAGCCAAGATTAGGAAGTCGTACAGTGATAAAATAACAATTATCTAGCCAAGATTAGGAAGTCGTACAGTGATAAAATAACAATTATCTAGCCAAGATTAGGACGTCGTACAGTGATAAAATAACAATTATCTAGCCAAGATTAGGAAGTCGTACAGTGATAAAATAACAATTATCTAGCCAAGATTAGGAAGTCGTACAGTGATAAAATAACAATTATCTAGCCAAGATTAGGAAGTCGTACAGTGATAAAAGCATCCAACAAAGATCCATAACGTTTAGAGTATTTCCAGTTAGTCTATTTAAATAAACTTCACCCTCACACCCTTCATTAAAGGCATAAGTATGAGATGAACCAGAACACTAACAGGTAGGCAAGGGCCCCGCCATGTGCCCGACAGTGACCTTTGCCTTGACCTTAGGGGAAAAAATGAAACCCTCATTGCACATCTGCATTTTACAATATTGCATCATGTCAACTTTTAGAAAGTCTCCGGAAACGCATGTGTGGACGGACAGAGGGACATTGTGATTAGGAGATGGTCCCGCGTCCGAAAAAGTACAATTTTGGTAATATTGACACATCTCTTGGATAAAGTAGAAAAATTGCATACTGCGTCCATTAATCTTTACGGGAACATCTACAGATTTAGCTACAGAGCAGAGTCGTATTAAATAGCTACTACGAATAATATGATCTATTTCTACATCCGACAAATAAACCCAAAACACTACAGCTATTTAACATACAGGTCCTGTAGTAGCTAGACCGCATGTGATTTCAATACGGCTTAAAAACAGCAATGTGTATTGTGATTTTCGGTTTATTAATATTTCAAAATTAGATTTTGTGAAATGCATAAAAACAGAAATAGTTGGTGCATTTGCTATCCTATTTAGCCGATGTTATGTATACTATCTTCTTGCCCATGAATGACGATAATAATTTATTTGAATCTTTGTATAAATAGTCTCAACCCTAAAATATACTTTTGGAGATAAAAAAAACCTGCATAGTTAAAAAGTTATATAAAACAATGATTCCATAAAGTAGAGTAACAATTTGGCTCAGAATTGTAAAAGACACATTTTATCAGGATCAAATCATTTAAAATGTTCCGCAAGTGTACGGCCCGGTTGTCCTGACGTAATGACGTCACACCGGACATCCTGACCTGGTGTTACCAGACTGCTGGAAACGTATCCATGGGGCATTAATATTGTTCCAATGCTCACCAAAGTGTCTTGAAACAACAATTTGGACAACACAAGCCTTAATAATTCCGACTGTGGTTAATTGTCGACATTGTCACTCAGTCTAAGCATACCTTATCAAACACGGTCACCGGGAATACATTTGTTTTAGATATAAAGAGATGTACACAACAGTAAAAAAAAGTCGGTAAATATGGTTAAACTTAATGTTGAACAAAATATTGCACGTGCACTAAGCGTGTTTCCGTTAGTATATAATAGGTTTGGTCCGATCTATACACATCGGGTCAAGTCAACTGTACCTGAGGGGAAACGGCTTTTGTCACGTCCAAGGAGAAGCCCACGAAGGTTGTCTACGCTCTGTCCGGATTTGCTGGGTTCCAGGCATGCTGAGAGCGCCATTCACTGGAATTTCGAGGAGAATCAATAATTTGACGTTTCGGTAAACTAAGAGCCAGATGAAGTCAACCCAATCTAATTAAAATTATATTCTAATTCCCGTTCCTCTACGATACTCTTACATGTATACACTATTTTCGGTAAACTTGATTAAAGCTCAACGTCATATTGCGAATTTCAAACTATTTTTGCCGACAAATTCCATAAAAAAATAGTTTGACTTTGTTTCTTTTTAAATTGACAGTGATAAGTTTGAAACCTTTATTTTCCCTTTAATTCTAGAAAGTTCTACTTTAATATAATGTCAATTCGAAAAACGTAGTACACAGTTTTTTTATCCATATTTCGTAAAATTGTAATATACATACACAACATACAAAATGTACACTTGTATTGACGCTTTCACAATTTGTGTAACTATTGTTGATGAAAGGGATTAAATAACGTTACTATAAATTGTGCCCGATCATATGGCTGTATTTATATACAGATAAATATGTTTTAACTAAACCCTGACACGTGATGACCCGGCAGCGCCCTGGAAGTGATAATGACCGATAAAAGACCCAGCACCGCGTAACTTATCTCACTGGTATACATACGTCACTGTGCCGGGACATAAACACATCGAACATGCACTGGCCACTTGTCAATGGTAAGATTGTTTACACATTTTCCCCGGGGTAGGGCTCTTAATCCAATGGTAGAGAGAAACAGCTTCAAAACATTCAAATATGAAATGGTCACGTGTCATTTATGGTAACGCTTGCTCTACATATCCAGGGGTTGGGCCACATCAAGGTTCTCTATTCCGTCTTTGCGTATTGCAGAGTTATCCTCTCTTGTGAGCCGGTATTGATTGTTACGTCATTTGTTTGTGAGAGTAACGTCATCAATTTTTGAGAAAACGACGTCATTTTCTTACACAAACCAATGACGTAACAATCAATACCTGCTCACAAGAGAAGATAACTCTGCAATACGCGAAGACGGAATAAGTCAGGGGTCAGGGACGTGCTCTTATCCGGAAGCAGCTCTAAGCTTTGTCAGAGGAAGTTTACTATTATCTCAGATAATTTAACCTATTGTGACGTCTAAAGTGATACAATAGCTAGAACTGACGTCATTGGTACGTCAAAAGGAATGCAATAGATATGACGTCATTGTGACGTCAAAAGTAATGCAATATACCTGACGTTATGGTGACGTCAAAAGTAATGTAATAGACCTGCAATAAACATTCATTTTCGTACAAATTCTGATATTTTATAGAACAATATGTATGGTAATCGTGGATAATGTTTTCCCTATTTCGGAAATCAAATCTGTTTGATATTTGAACACTCAGTACAAAGTACACATTTTGTTTGTTCCCTTTTGGAATCCAATCTATCATTCAGTTTCTGGGGGGATTTTGATAGGACTGGCACCTTAAATTAAATTTAAAAACAGAATATCTTTACCCTCGTCTACTATTTTCAAAATTCGAGCATCGTGTTTGAATTAACTGGTACTTTAAACAGTTCTTAATGTAGAATAAATTTATGTCTTTTTTGATAGAATAATTAATCTGTAGAATTAATCTATAGAACATTCAGGTCAGTGTAATTTACTATATAGTGTGTATACGTTAAGGCGTCGTATCTACCTTAAGTAAACCACACGTTAAACCTAGGGCTATGATACATATCCGGATATTCTATTCCGATTAGTTTTTGCAAAATCAGAACCTTTTTTTTTCATTCAGATTTCCGATAGAAGTCTTCCTTTTTTCCCTAAATCTTGTAATATTTGTGTGTGTCCTTTTTAATAATTGCAAGTTTATCCTCTCTAGTTTAGTGACCTTTTTATAACCGATACCGATTCCTCTGCTGTGCACAGCAGTATTAGAAACTGATGTATCAGAATTGTTTCAGTGGTAAATCAACTGGTATATTAATAATAATAATAATAATAATATACAACATTTGATATAGCACTCTATCTAGCTAGTATAAGCCACTATAAAGCGCTTTACAGTACATACAGTTAGACACACAATTAATACAATTAGCATATACATTAATCAATGCAATTTTTGAAGATTCCCAGGAGCTGCCTTATTAGGCGCTAACTACTAGTCCTATGCCACCTGGCTAATATCTCCCTATGCGTGTGTGCTGGAGATGTATTGTGTTCTGTTTGTAGTGGGATCGTGCTTCCAATGGCATCATTTATAGTGCCACTTCACTTGAATGCTACATCACAGATACCGTATTCCACCTAGGTGGTTGGAGTTGTGTGGGCAGGAGAAAAACACTCTCTCTCTGAATATACCATGCGTGCGACGTCTTCAAGGATCGAACCCCGGCCGCCTGCGTTGAAGGCCAGAGTGTTTACCACTCGACCCATTAACTTTTCCAAATTTGCTATATACAGCCAAGCGGTGCTTATTGAGCTTTCAAAGAGACAATATGGTAATATGTTTAAAAATCATACATGTATCTACTCATCAGAATGATATATAAAATAATCGCTCACAGAAAAACGCTGTAAATATAGGAAATGGTTTGCTAATTTTCTGAGGTAATTAGGTGAAAACTCCAAATCAGTAAAACACTCATTTATTTACATGTTCACGCATGTAAACGTATATTTTGTAGGACTCGTCCATCTGCTGATAATTGTACAACTAGCTGAACAGACCAAAGGTAAGCTATTATACTGAAACTTATTTTACTGACTGTAAGTTTATGTACCGATATTTATTTCAATGGCTGTAAGTTATTATAACGATATTTATTTTACTGGCTGTAAAAAGCACAGGTAGGTAAATTATACTGTTTTTTTACTGACTGTAAAAAACACAGGTATGTTCATATGGGGTGTTCTCGTTTGCCCCACTTTTTATATAACAAAGGAAAGTGTTGATTTAGGAAGACAATGGCAAACCAATTATTGTCTGTTTCATACTTACCCCCCAGGTAACTTACCTGTGTGAAAGTTACCAGTGTGAAAGTTACCTGTGTGACATGCAGCTTTGTTGTTTATGTTGGGTATAAATAAGGTTTTAATACTTTTTTGTGGTTCAAATGTCTTAATATAATCGATATATTTTTATACTTATACATATGTAGAGTTTACAAATATTTACATTACACTTTTAAACAGATAATATAGAATATAACAGCACTACATAAGAGTTCACAGTCGAGTATTTCACTACTTATACATAATGATTACATTTCAATTATATTACAATTTTTAAACTTACAACCGTCAATGCATATTAATTATATTAATTTATATTACACTGTTTAGGCCACCAAATACAAGACAAGTTAACTTTAACAATACATTTCAAAACATGTTAAGAAGTTAAATGCATCAATATAAACTGTACATTACATTTACTTATCACACAATACAAATACATTAACAATATTCACATATTAAGAATAGTAAAGCTTAGTAATAGCAATCTCAAAATGGCCCCCTCAAATTTATAAAATCACCAATTTAAAGTTCAAGTCCAACAGCCAAGAGGCACATATTTTTGTTGTCATCTATCCCAAATGTAAGAGATGTGATAATAAATTGGCGTACTCCAGAAGATCCATCGTCTGGTTTCCTTCAGCTGGGTCAGTCTGCTGCTGATGTTTCGGTATCGTTTCTCGCGTGGTCTGTTGACTCCTCTTGCATCTCGTTGTATCCTGTTGATCTCGTTGGCTGCCTGAATCTCTTGGAACACTCTGATGATGGCGAAGATGTTTGGTTGTGCATGGTGAACATTCTTCTTCAACTTCTCGTGCCAGGCCTCTATGTGATTGGTGGTGCGGGGTCCTTCAGTGTTGTAATGGTTCCAGGTATAGCGATCTCTCTCGATCCACTGGGTTACGACGTAGTCTGTGAAAGGTGTTGTGTTCACGGGTAGGTCAGCATCCTCAAGTTCACCTAAAGCGTTGAACCACACATCGTCCACACTCTCCAGGGGCACCAGGGGTAACACTGTGGCCAAGCGCACACGTTGATTGATGTGGTCGTTCTTTCTGTAAAGTTGTTGAAGTCCGGTCTGCTGGGCCTTCCTCCGTGCGTATGCATTGCGTGAAGTGGAAAAAACAGCCCTTAGATGGTCACTCCGGGGAACACTTGTCGTATAGCGTTGTGTGCTGCAATCTCGAAGTCAGCGAACACTGTTGTTGGGTTGAGAGGTAGGTTGAGGTCGGTCATGGTTGTTTTCAGTAGTGTCAGGAATTGGGTGAACAACTGCTGGGTATTGCCTGGTAGTAGTGAGTAGATGAGTGGGTACATCTTTCCGTCAATCAGTCCGTGGATGGTGTATATCTGATAGAAGAGCTTAGGGTATGTGAAGAAAGTTCCATCACAGTAGAGGTTGTCAGCATTGGCAAGGTCGAAGAGGTTGTCCGTAGTAGCGAAGCTGATGATGAGCCAGTCATCTCCATCATCAAAAAGCAGGAACTCTGTGTTCCCCGGCAGTCGTCTTGGTCCGAATTATTGTTTGCTATATATAACCAATTTGGCTTGGATATTCATCATCAGCTCGGATACAAATTAAGGAGTGCTTAAATAATTGTAACACTCGTCATCATCACAGTAATTAGCATAGGCCGTGTTCACTTTTAGCTCACCTGGATGGAAATGATAGCTTGGATAATTATAGATGTTCAATGATTTTTATGATACATGTAGTTACAAGATACTTATAACATCAATGAATTTTGATTAATTAACTGGTAAACACTCTTAGTCACACATTACATTCTTACATTTTGTACAAGGCTATGTAGGCATCTTATTAAATGTTACAATAATAAATATTATTAAATAACTATTTATATTAATATTTTTGAAGTACTAGAAAATGAAATAACACATTCATCTTATCATATCAGCAGCACAAGGACTACAAAATGGATATTTTTAATACTGAATATATATATTTATATATATGATTAACATTTAAATAATTTGAATTTTAACATTTGTCATTACAAATCTGTAAAAACTGATATAATGTATTATTAAATTAAATATGTTAAAACACCACCTTAGATAGAAGGGTTAACCGCAGGTAAAAACACAGGTAATTACTGCCCATACTACTTAGAAACAGACTATAATCCTTCTAACAACATTCTTCCCCCCATGCTATTTTAAAAAGTGGGGGAACTGAGAACAAGCCGTTAATATACTGATAATTATTTTACTGACTGTAAAAAGCACAGGCAGGTTATTATAGTTATAATTTTTTTGCTGGCTGTAAAAAGCATAGGTAGGTTATTATAGTTATGATTATTTACTGACTGGAAAAAAGACAGGTATGTTAATTATACTGATAATTAATTAACTGGCTGTAAAACGCACAGGTAGGTTATTATACTTATAATTATTTTATTGACTGTAAGAAGCACAGGTAGGTTATTATAGTTATAATTATTTACTGACTGTAAAAAGCACAGGTATGTTAATTATACTGATAATTAATTAACTGGGTGTAAAAAGCACAGGTAGGTAATTATAGTTATAATTATTTACTGACTGTAAAAAAGACAGGTATGTTAATTATACTGATAATTAATTAACTGGCTGTAAAAAGACAGGTATGTTAATTATACTGATAATTAATTAACTGGCTGTAAAAAGCACAGGTAGGTAATTATACTGATAATTATTTTACTGGCTGTAAAATTCACAGGTAGGTAATTATACTGGTAATTATTTTACTGGCTGTAAAATAATTATCAGTATAACAAATTACCTGTGCTTTTTACAATGTTATTTTAACATGTTTACTCTCGTTTACTTTATTTTAATAAATTTTAACGCAATATAGTTTGGAATTCAATACATGGTTTATTGTGTACTACGTAAATATTGTATTACGTCATTAAGCCTATATGTACATTTTGTTGTAAGTTTTGGACTCATATGGAAAGTCCTGCACAATCTTTCCTTACAAGTAAAACCGTAATATTGATTCTGTCTGACCGTCTGTTATTTTCAGCATTACATTGTCTGAGCTGTACGGATATCTTACAACCCCGACTCTGCCACCAGGTGGAGACATGTTCTGATGATGAGGTATGTGCACATGAATTGGTTACGAGGTCTGTGCACAGGAACTGATTAAGTATATTTACTTACTGAGTAACACATATATTATTGGAGGATTACGAGATGCACCCAAACTGATGACGAGTCATATGTGCTACGTAGAAAATGATGTTATTCACGCAAAAACTCATGACTCAAGCAATACTTACAAAAAGAAGTTGGTTAAGAGGGAACTTTACATGTGCTTAAAAAATGACAATAAACTATTGATTTGATGTCATTTTGAACTAATATAAAACACGAAAAGAAAACATTAAAATCAACAATGGATAAGGGAAATAACTCAGAAAAGTGTATAGCTTTCCATACATAATGTGAATTTATAATTTTTTGGAGTGTTTTTTTATTTTTATTATCTTAGGTGATGAATATTCATGTCTTCAACTGTGAAAATTAGTAAATCATTAGTTCATCATTTCATTTCAGAAGAGGAGAAGAAACACTATTTCACTGAATATCTGTGTTTTAGGTATGCGTTGTACAGAAACTGCAGTACAGCAATGGCGATATCAGCTTTAAAGTCGGCTGCGAGTCTGCCCAGGTAAATATCAGCTTTAAAGTCGGCTGCGAGTCTGCTCAGGTAAATATCAGCTTTAAAGTCGGCTGCGAGTCTGTCCAGGTAAATATCAGCTTTAAAGTCTGCGAGTCTGCCAAGGTAAATATCAGCTTTAAAGTCGGCTGCGAGACTGCCAAGGTAAATATCAGCTTTAAAGTCGGCTGCGAGTCTGTCCAGGTAAATATCAGTTTTAAAGTCGGCTGCGAGCCTGCCCAGGTAAATATCAGCTTTAAAGTCGGCTGCGAGTCTGCCCAGGTTAATATCAGCTTTAAAGTCTGCGAGTCTTTCCAGGTAAATATCAGCTTTAAAGTCGGTTGCGAGTCTGCCCAGGTAAATATCAGGTTTAAAGTCGGCTGCGAGTCTGCCCAGGTAAATATCAGCTTTATAGACTGCGAGTCTGTCCAGGTAAATATCAGTTTTAAAGTCGGCTGCGAGTCTGCCCAGGTAAATATCAGCTATAAAATCGGCTGTGAGTCTGCCCAGGTAAATATCAGCTTTAAAGTTGGCTGTGAGTCTGCCCAGGTAAATATCAGCTTTAAAGTCTGCGAGTCTGTCCAGGTAAATATCAGCTTTAAAGTCGGNTCGGCTGCGAGTCTGTCCAGGTAAATATCAGTTTTAAAGTCGGCTGCGAGTCTGCCCAGGTAAATATCAGCTTTAAAATCGGCTGCGAGTCTGTCCAGGTAAACATCAGGTTTAAGGTAGGCTGCGTGTCTGCCCAGATAAATATCAGCTTTAAAGTCGGCTGCGAGTCTGCCTAGATAAATATCATCTTTAAAGTCTGCGAGTCAGCCCAGGTAAATATCAGCATTAAAATCGGCTGCGAGTTTGCCCAGGTAAATATCAGCTTTTAGGTAGGCTGCGAATCTATCCAGGGTAAATATCAGGTTTAAGTGTATCAGCTTGCTCAAGATTTCAAGATTTCAAGATTTTTACTCACTCCAGACACAAATTTCGTGTGTAACTGCAGGAAATCAATCTGCGGATACCTTTTACAATGGCAGACCAACTGGATATATTTGTACATTTTAAAGCAAATGCATAAATACAAAGCATACATACTAGGCATAGCATAACAAATAAATAAAGCATACATATAGTATTATACATACATATAATAGTATACATACATATAACATCATAGATACATATCATAGCATACCTACATACATATAACAGCATAAATACATACATACAACAACGTTAAGTTCGGCAACAAGTCTATCCAGGTAAATATCAGGTTTAAGTTCGGTATAGAGTCTGTCCATGTAAATATCAGGTTTAAGTTCGGCAACGATTCTGCCCAGGTAAGTATCAGCTTTAAAGTCGGCTGCGAGTCTGCCAAGGTAAATACCAGCTTTAAAGTCGGATGTGAATATGCCCAGGTAAATATCAGCTATACAGTCGGCTGCGAGTCCAACCAGGTAAATATCAGGTTTAAGTTCGGCAACGAGTAGTCGGCTGTGAGTCTGTCCAGGTAAATATCAGGTTTAAGTTCGGCAACTAGTCTGTTCAGGTAAATATCAGGTTTAAGTTCGGCAACGAGTCTATCCAGGTAAATATCAGCTTTCATTTCGGCAACGAGTCTATCCAGGTAAATATTAGGTTTAAGTTCAGTATAGAGTCTATCCAGGTAAATATCAGGTTTAAGTTCGGCAACAAGTCTGTACAGGTAATTCCCCTACCATCGAAAAAAGTCAGCAGAATGACGGAAAACGAGAGACATACGACAGAGGTTTCTCTCAGATTGTAGCGCTTTTCTAAGAACTACCACAATAAACAGGCAGCACCGGACAAATGCGATATTTATCATATACCATCTATTTTCCAGCGCTGATTGAAGGAGCAATGTCATGTGACGAGTTTGTTACCGGCCATATTCTAAAAACTGAAAAAGTGCTACTGACCGTTACTAAAATAAGTTTCCATATTCCACTCTAAAAATAGAATTTGCCTGCTGCGAACTATTCATTTTAGATTCCAAGAATAGAAATGTTACAACGATAGTGGACTATGTCATCGTTTGGTTTCGGGTTATTTCAATGTGACCTCAGGGATGAATAGGGTGAATGAAAAAGGCCATATACTATACTTCACATGAAGTCCGAAGTTTTATATTTCGGTTTCGATGTCTAGTTTTGTATTGTTTTGGAATGTGTTGATTGTAAACCTTATTGTTATCCAGGTATGTCACCATCAGAGGTCCGTCAGTGTGATGGGCGTGTCCAACCTAACTAAGAGGCGTGGCACCGCCCCCCTCTGTGTTGATTGCTGCACAACCGACCTATGTAATGCAGAAGGATGTGGTCAGTCAGGTGAGTGACAGAATCTTTATAATCTGAGGGAGGCGTCAACAGTGCTGAATATTTCTACGCCGTTCGAATATGTCATGACAAAATTTAAGGCTCTGCACGCGACACCTGGCGGATTCTGATGAAGGACTCGCTCGAGAATCATGTAACGGATAAATCGATAGGATTTGCAGTTTAGTGTACACCTCTATAATCTTCAACGAACAGGTATTAGTCTACGATTCGGCCAGGTTAATATTTCCCGACATCATTCAAATACTTTCCTTTGGTTTTGTCCTGACATATTCCAATAGCGCTGAAAAAAGATGTCGTACCAAGAGAGAAGCCCTTCCATTTCGAAAAAATGCCAGCAGATAGCAAACGCGAATATATCTAGTTATACTTTTATATAGGAACGGTTTTACCCACAATTTCTTGTTTGGTATGAGTCATGAGAATGGATAGAATGGAACAGGTAATTGTTCTGTTGCCAGAAACGTATCCAAGGACGGGATATCACGATTTATCATAAGATCTTTTGAGTTCTTTAAAATCCACATTCCATAAATTCTCTTTCTTGAGTACCGATTTATTGGTACTAAGCATGGCAGCTAGAAATTTGCATCATGGCTTTGTTGAGACACTAGAACAGAACTATATTACCATTCCATAATTGTGTTCTCCCTATACTTCTTGCTTGCTACGAATATACTATACTTGCACGTGAGTATTCTGTATTTATATATGACGTCATCGTCTAGAATATCGCAATCAGATTGGTTCCGGCATGTCAACGTGTCAGATGATCTAACAGCATATAAGGTCACGTTGATGTTGATGAAATGATTCATCGAAGCTAAAGCAATGCCAGAGAAATAGTGTCCAGCATTATAGAAGATTTTGGCAGGGGAACAGGGATTCTTGTAGCCAACGCAAACTGCGTAATTCTTATATCCTGCTAGTAAAATATATACCATAACTTTCGATATCTTATATCCCAACAGGATACCCTCCGGAAATTGGCGTGGTGTGCTATGGGTGTGACATGACCTACACGTCCGACACGTGCGGTAGACTTGAGTTCTGTACAACAGACGAGGTATATTTTTGCATGTCTGCATTTGCGTATTATGTCGACTATATCAACCGCACACAAAAATAATAATATAAAGAAATTAGAAATTGATTTTGACGTCATTTAAAATTGAAGTTAATGGGACGCTTGGCAACCCCTCTACTTAACCCAGAGTAATGCTTCGATGCACATTCGGTGATTCAACGTGGGCGGAACTCAAGTTAATGGCAAAACATCCAGCGATTTGCATTCATAAATAAGGGAGATAACTCTTCATAAATAAGGGAGACAACTTACAGGCTCAGAAATTCGTATTTATAGTATTTCTTTTTCAATCTTTTACCAACTTAACCTGCTTCCTTCTTATAAAATATTTACAGATGTGTGTCATCCAGGGAAACTGGGATATTGTGAAGTATTACAAAACGGGTTGTCAGAGGAAACACGTGAGTTACGAGGATCATATGATTCTATCTCGTGCCCTCAATTTCAGCTTTTTATTTTTCAAATCGGTTCTTTTTGAAACATTGCATCATATGAAAAAAATAACGACTTTTGAATTTTATGTAGAATCCATGTTGACATTTTCGACTGAAAAAACTTTTTGATCTCTTTTTTGTTTGTTTCAATATCATATAGTTTCAATTTTTTGTGAGATCACTTCTTGATCTTTTTATATTTCGAATGATTTTAATTGAGGATTATCATTGTTTTTCTTGGATTATTTTGACTAAAAATTTCTTGAATTGTTGAATTGCGTAGTATTTTCAATGACAGTTTTCAAAATATTCTTGTATAAAGTTTTATTTCGTAAGATTTTTTTTTGTATTGCATGTTATTGCTTAGCTAGACTCAAGTGTTAGTCTTATATAAAAATATAAAAGTGCTCTTGTTATATAGATTATTAAAATGACTTAAATGATTGTGTATGTCTCGAACCTTTGTCAAGTTGAAAATGTTGCAAATATATGTATTTCTCTCGTCAGTTCCAAATATTTTATGATCTTTGGTCCAGAGTTACATGTTTTCTCCTAGTACATGGTTATTAAAAGCAAAGATTTACCAAAAAGGACTTTTAAAATTATTTGAGTCATTGCAGATGTAATGAAGTATTCTCGAGTTGTAAATAATGTTCCTCTCCACAGCTATGTTCGCAAGTGGGATGGGCAGGCCAGGTTGGGAAGCGCTCCAACTACTGTTATCGTTGCTGTGAAGACAATTTATGTAACAACCGCTGTGACGACAATCTCACAACCTCCCCGATAACAACTCCTGGTAATATATCCCAATTTTACCTCATGCTATTATTATACATGATATCTAATTGGCCAATTTCAGAAAGTTTACAGATATGGTAAATGCCCCCTGATGTCTTGCATCAGAGTATTTTTTATTTCAACCCTTTTTAAGGAGTTATGGTCGTTTGTTGAAAAATCTATGTCCTCACAACTCCTCCTTTACTACTAGGACGATTTCATAAAAACACTGGTTCATCTTGGCTAGCAATATTTGGATTGCAAGTATGTTATGGCATTGGGAGGGAGTACAGGCAGTATGTCAGCGACATATATTCTTAAATAAGTGTACAACTCAATGAATAAAGAAATCATTACTGGTGGGAGACTATGGATTGCTTTGCTTTACCTTAATTAGCCTTTAGCTTACAGTTTTGGTTTATATAGGAGCGGGGGATATTAGTTAGCCTTTGGCTTACAGTTCCAGTTTTAATGCTAGCATCACCGATAACTCCTAGAAGTATGGCGCAGTGTGCTTATTTTTTTGGTATATTGCATCTATTACCAAAATGTATAGCTGCAATCACGTTTGTATCTTATGTTTATTTTCAAAGTAACAAGATGGTAGACTCTGCTGGTGAATTTCTAGTTTGCCGTAACCTTGACTGCCATAGTTATCTCACTTTTGGGAAGTAATTATGTACACTCTTTACTCATTTTATAATTTTAAATTAACCAGTAATTCTCTGAATTTTGAAATTGATAACATTCAGGTGTTTTTCACACCTTTCCTTCTGTTCCAATAGTAGTTTAAGCCAATTTAGATTTCCAACTTTATCGCCTCTAGCATCATTGATGAGTCCTAGAAGTACAAAACATCTGTACGGTGCAGTGCTATTCGCTTTTGACATACTGTATATGTTTCAAAACTTCAAAGGTGTAGTCACTTGTTTGTATTCCCTGTTAATCCCGTCCGTCCATATGTCCGTAAATCCGGCCACAAACAGTGTGGAAAAAGGAGACACGAGTATCATAAGGGTTATCTCTGCTACTGATATTTGTTAGGTGTCCTAGGCGCGGTAACGATTCACCTACAGCTATTAATTTAATGCATTTGATATGTGACTTGGGGGAAATAGTGTATCAAATGTCCATCTTGTCCTGTACTATCTTGTTCCTTCCCGTCCCGTGCCATCCCGTGCCGTCCCGTGCCGTCCCGTGCCAGTTCTCCGTCATGACTCCAGTGACATCACATTCTCACGTATTTTGGTCAAATTATATGCAAAGACTAGGTACTAGAATAAGTTGAAATGAGTTCACATTTCAGCGTTCCAAGGTCAAGGTTGAGGTCATTGTTACTACTTATAGCTACATTGATCAAACTTTAATAAAAGGTCAACCATGACACTTCTGTATTTCAGGGATTACATGCCAATGTCAAGGTCACCGCTACTGGTAGAAAAAAGAACCATACAGAAAATAATTTGCACTAAATCTAATTTTCTATGACATATTTTCTACTACACTTCAGTTCATTCGACTTCGATCAGCTTACCCCCAATCACACCATCGGAAGTGACGTCAGCGTCAACTCCGAACTTTAGCACGTTACAACCACCGAAAGCGTGCGATGACTTCCCGGAATGTATCAACATGAACCGAACGGCTATATGTGCAGACAAGCATGCAGCAACTGCATTGTGTCCTCGGGCGTGCGGGCTGTGTCCGTCCACCTGTCGGGATACGTCCGACCTCTGTGCATACCTTAATCAAACCATCAGTCTTTGCAGTAACCCGGATATGGTTAAATATGTGGGTTGTTTGTCTACCTGTAGTATGTGTGGTGAGTTATTTTATGTAATCTACAAAATCACTCTTCAGGAGTTACCAAGCAACATGTAGTATTTGTGGAGAGTATTCTGGTAACCCATAGTTTGTTATTTGACTACGTTTATTATTTAAGATAAGCATACAGGGTTGACATGTGTCCTGTGGTGTTCGTGGTTAGTAATCATGTAGATAGGGTCTGGTTAATCACGAGAGTTGTCAATTAGGATGTGTGTTTGTAGTGAGTATTCCTGACTTTAACAACCCAGAAAACCAAATAAAAATAAAAAATAAAAATTTGCACCATATGTCCATTTGGTCCCTCAACAGTGGTCAAAAGTAATCAGTTCTAAAATATGTCTAAAGGTACAGCACACGGACAACAGTACATATACAGCCCTTTAGAATGTTAAAACTTGACACCTTTTGGCTGCAACATTTATTTCATTTCATTTTTTTTTAAATGCAAATATTGCCAGAATAATTATACCCCCGCAACGAAGTTAGGGGGGGGGGGGGGGGGGGGATATACTGGAATCAGCTTGTCTGTCCGTCTGTCTGTTTGTCTGATGAAAAAGTTTGTCCGGACAACTCCTTCTAAAGTAATGGACCAATTTCAACGAAAATTTCCAGATATGTTAACTACCACCTGAAGTTGTGCATCCAGGTGTTATTCTTCTCGTTCTTACCATTTTTACGGAGTTACTGCCCTTTGTTGAAAAATGCTTGTCCGCACAATTTTTCCAACACTACTGGACCAATTGCAATGCAAGTTTTCAGAAATGATAGCTACCACCTTCTGTTGTGCATCCAGGTATTATTTTTTCAATCTGATCCCTTTTTATGCAGTACTGGCCTTTTGTGGAAAAATGCTTCTCCTGACAACTCCTCCAACACTATGCTCCTAATGTAAACGGAACTTTTTAGATATGATATTTACCACCTAAAGTTGTGCATCCAGGTATTTTTTCAATCCTTTTTTATGGAGTTATGGCCTAGTGTTGAAAAATCCTCGTCCTGATAACTTTTCCTAATCTACTGGGCCAATTTAAGAAAAGTTTACAGATATAGTAACTCCCCCTTGACGTCGTGCATGCAAGTATTACTTTTTCCTTCCGACCCTTTTAAAAGGAGATATAGCCATTTTTTGAAAAAAGTAGATTGTCTGCCTCCTTAAATACTGGGCCAATTTCAATGAAAGTTTACAGATATGGTAATTACCCCCAGATGTCGTACATCAGGGAAGTATATTTTCATTTCGACCCTTTTTAGGAGTAATAGCCCTTTATTAAAAATCTTTGTCCTGACATCTCTTCCTTAACTACTACATGTAGGAATATTTCAGCAAACTTCGTTCATCTGGGCTAACTAAAATTAGTATGTTTGGGCATTTAGAGGGAGTAGAGGAAGTATGTGAATTACCTTTATACTTAAATAAGTATACAGCTCAGCAAATAAAAAAATAATAACTGGTGGGAGACTATGTTGCTTTGCAATGCTTTGTCGTAGTCAAGCCTTTGGCTTACAGTTCTGGTTAGGAGCAGGAGGTATTAGTTAGCCTTTGGCTTGCAGTTCTAGTTTGGGCCACAAAGTTACAGCAAAATGCGAGGACTGCTGTAATCATCCTAATAGCAGAGACGATCACCTTGTGACGTAAATTTATGAATATTAAATGAAATATTAAACGAGGCAGCATCTATTACAAATAAGCATTTACTACTCAGTGTAGCCATTTTATCCAGTTCATCACTGGCAATTAAGTTGAAAGTAAGTCAACACTATTTAAGATGTTTTAAAAACATTTGTATAACTACAGCAAAAACAAAAACATGTGTATATCGAACAGTATATAAGAGGAGTAAAATGACTTGTTAAATGGTGTTGAATATTAATCATGTAATCGTCAAAATGTGAGTGACAAGATAAGTTGGAAAGACAGTAGAAAGACAATCTTTTGAAAGTGTGAATTATCCGATTTTGTATATTTTTTTTATGTTTAGAATCTTTTACACCGACAGTAACGACAGTATCCCAGCCTGTGTCTGCAATGACGTACTGTGGTGTTGCGCCTCGTCTCTTAAGGGGCGGTAAGTCTGCATAGCATAGCATATTTAAACCTGAAAATGTTTGGCTTCTGCAGTGAAAAACTCAACTTTCAATATCTATCTCGTTGCTTTTGAGAAATCGCCATTTTTTTAAAACCCATTTCCAGATGAACTAATTTTAAAGGGCAGAGGGGCGGGGCTGAATAGGGGAAATAGAGGTAAAACCTTTAAAATCCTTCTCCTATCGTAGGGATTGAGGGATTTTATTCTAATTAAGTCTGGAAAATCCTTTGGCCAAGGGGACTCAATTTTGTATAAATCGTTGGTGTAGTACCCCTTGCGGCAGAGAGACGGGCCAAACAATAGTGGAAATAGAATTAAACCTTAAAAATCCTTCTTTCGTAGAGAGTAAGGGATTTTATCCTAATTTAGTCTGGAGAATCCTTATGCTAATGGGACTTAATTTTGTATAAACGGTGGATGTGGGACGTGGCTGAATAGGGGAGGGGGATAGAGGACAAAACCTTTAAAATCCTTCTTCTACCGTAGGGATTGAGGGATTTTTTTCTCATTTAATCTGGAGCATCCTTGGGCCAAGAGGACTCAATTTTGTATAAATAGTGGGTGTGGCCTGCCTGGGGTAGCGGAGCAGGGCCCAATAGGGGGAACATAGCAAATTCTTTAAAATTCTGTAGGAATGACAGGATTTTGTCCAAATTTGGTATGAAGCACCCTTGGGTGAAGGGGACATAGTTTTGTATCAACGATGGGTCTGACCCCCTGGGGCAGAGGGGCGGAGCCCTATAGGGGAAACATAGCAAATTCTTCAAAATCCCCCATATACTTTAGGAATGACAGGATTTTGTCCAATTGCATATAAGTATAACCCCTGACTAACCATGTAATACATGTACACTTCCAGTTACATCTGGCTATTACAACTTCAATTTGCTAACATTTCCAGGTACGCGATACAGGCCCTCTGGGCCTCTTGTTCGTAAATTCGAAGAACATCAAATATATGTTAGAAGAGAGCAAAAGTTTTATCATTATAAATGACGTTGTGCAGTTGTACTAGACACAATGACGTTTGACCCTTGTAGCAAAGAAATAAATGACTTTTACACTCGTAACATATATAAAAATAAAGGTTCACACACGTAGCCGAAAGAAATGTGTAAACAGATGTATATAGAATGTAGAAATAACCTTTTTAAACTTGCAACAGCATGTTGAAACGATACTTCTGAACATTTTCCTCATTTTGGTAAGTATTGATAACATACGCTTCACTGGTCATTTGTCTGATGCAGGTGACAGAGTACATACCGTACATCGAATCGTCACACATAATCACCTATTGGTTGTGCTACATGAATCTTTTCATAACTTCACTGGTTGTGCTGTATCAATCTGTGTAATATGGAAATGACGTTTTAATTTTGTAACTGTTTTAAAAAATAATGTTTTATATTTGAAATAGATATATAAATCACCATGAACCTACTACTGTAACATACAACAATGATATTTTTAATTTGTAATAGATAACAAAGGGGTTGACTTCTACGTGGCAACGTTCTACCTGGCGAAGCTCGACAGCTTCCCACACTCCCAGAAGCCGTATCTGTCTATTCTGTATGAGTACCACTCAGGCATGTGTGTTATGACTTACGGCAAAAGAAGCATAACGCTGTCCCTCGCGTACGGCCAGAATGTCCTACCCATCCCCGAGGAGCTTATTCTGACCGACCCAGGTCTGGCTCAGTTCTCCCAGTCCAGTCGTGATGTTTACCATCTAAACAGGGACGTAGAAATGAAGATGCTTTATCTCCACTGCAACCGCACCGTCAACGTTGTTGTCGTGCAGAAAGGTACGTAAGTCTGTCTGTTATGGCGGGAAACGTTGAATCTGGCCTTAAACTGCCCTTCTAGTGAATCATATTTACTCTTCGGCGTCAATTAATATTGTTGCTGTTTAAATGGACAACCCCAATATTTCCACAATGACAATGAAATATCATGAAAACGCTAAGCTGAATTTAGGATATTATCTAGTTTGTAAACCACATGTCAGTGTAATGTTACTAGATCCCAACCCGTATGACAACAGAGCAACACAAATATACACTGACTATATTACTAGTAAAATGCATTTTTTTTGTGTCTGGAAAAGTTTTCTATTTTGGGCATGTTAGGGTAGATAACTTTAGTTAAGCACTTGTAAATTGAGTCGATGGCAAAGATACATTTATTTGCCCTCGACTGGAGTTATCTCCTAACCTGATCAAAATTATTTTTTCTTATATTTACAGCACTCTATTTTATTCATTAGTCAGATCAAGGGAGACAAATTTCATTTTCAAACCGTATTAACGTGTGATCGGTCCAATACAAGTGATAGCCTAAAATTTGCACAAACCTTGGTAAATCTTCGCCTAAATCAACTGTTTATGACGTCACAGGATTGTGCCTCGTTTTCAGAAATTTGCATAGCTTCGCCCACTTGTATGTTTGGTAGCGCCATGGAAACTTGTTACGTTCTCTGGTCATGTTTTGTGGTGATAACAGTTTGCGGGAGCCATGATTATAGAGTGAATGTCAGTGTACACTTTAGCTATAATTTCGTATTATGCTTCAGGTGAGGTAAATGGACAGGCGTCCGTTTACGAGGCACATTTGGCCTTCCCAGCCCCACAGTGTTCCACATCCTTCGTCGTTTCGTCATACCTTAACCCCAAATATGAGTACAACGTCATCGGCGTCATCAGTCCTAAGGGAGCTAACGTCTCCTTCCATAACGACAAAATCACGACTGCACCTTTTAATGGAACAGCAACTTTTAACGTGACTTTACAGTCCAACGGTGTGTTCCAGCTGTCATCTCTTAACGACTTGTCCGGCACGAGGATTACGTCATCAACGCCCATTTGTGTTCTCTCCAGCAACAACTGTCTGTACAACAGGAAGGGCCTCTGTAGTATGGTGATCGAGAGCATACCTCCGGTCGCTGACCTGGAGACGAACTTCGTGGTTCCCGTTCTCATGCCCAACTACACCATGTCCATCAAAATTGTGGCCGCGCATGACAACACATCTGTTACTATGGCAATGACCAATCAGAACGCAAATACACCTGCTGGGCGATCGCCACTCCGTGAAGTGGTGGTTTTAAATAGTGGAATGTACCTGACACAGGCGCTAACTGCTATGACGGACCTCACAATAATGGCCACCAAAGGAATTTTGGTAACTCAACTATTGTTTGGATACGCGCCATTCGGGCTACCCGTGCCAGCTGTCACGCAATATAAGGACTTATACCGGTTTGACTCACTTGCTGCCAAGGAAACATACATCACTATTATCATAGAGAATATGCACAACACCAGTGCTATGTTCGAGGGCCTCGTTTTGGACGACTCGCCTCTATCAGAGTCTCTTCTGTCCTATAATACGACTTTGGCGTGCTCAGACTATAGTATAATTACGATGGCGGTTAGCGCGGGAGGGCACCTTATAAAACATACCATGGCGGTTCCCTTCGGTCTGATCGTACACGGGACCCAATACGGCTATCCTGCTGGCATGAAATTCATGTCGACCTCCAAGTGATACTTATATTGACTAACTGATGAACGATGGGGTCGTAGCCATGGAAATAATGAATGCGTAGGCGTGTGTAACATTGTGTAATGTAGCTTATGTTTGTAACATGGAAGACTTGAATAAAAAAAGGTGTGTGTCACAACAGTGATGAAATGCTTTGACTTTAGGGTGCCTGTCCCACTGGAGGCAACACCCCTTCATGTATATGTTATAATATCTCTTTAAGTTCGTTTCGGATGTTATTTCGTTTACTGGACAGTTGTGTCGGTTTGAGCGGCAGGATAACAGTCTGAGGTCTAGCGTTCGAATCCTGGTCCGCTGAGTCTTTCACATTGAGAATAATGTTGTTGAAGTTTGTTTTTTCATCATTATTATTTCTTTTATGAAATTATGACTTTTATAAAGATGATTTATTACACTCTACTCATACCGGGGACACAGATTCAATACGTCGTCACGTGGCATTGGTACGTGGATCATGAATCGTGTATACCACGTGATCACTAGCACAACTTGGTCCCATATTTTACCTTAACCCATTCACCCAAGACATTTCATAATGAACTATTCCAACCTTTGAATTGGAGGAGTTCAAATGTGTCAGCAGGTGTGAATGAGTTAACGATAGTTGATAAACACACGTTTTATTGTGGTTTATTTTGTTCGAAATATCGCGTCATCTTCTGACTGTGATTCTGGGAATCATTGCTCCAACTCGGCTAAAATTTGGTGACGTAAATATGAAACCGGACTCACTTGTTCTTAATTTAAACTGATATTTCATGGAAGTGATATAAACAGTATAGCGGACATCATTTTAAACAGAAACCGTGTGACATCAACTTTTTTGTTCGCAGTCATTAATGTACCGAAAGTCCGAAATACCGGAAGTTTGATTGGATATCACCCCAAAGTAATGCATAAACCAAACAAAATGAAAAAAAACACGTATATTTACTATCAATGGTAAATATTGTTGATGTGGGATGATAGCAGATGCTTTATTAGAATCGAGGTCGACACTATCGCTGGTCAGTTAAGTTAAACTGATCCAAGATATTGTTGATGGTAATATTTCAACCCTGGGTATAGAATACGTCGTGTTATAACTTTGCCTGTCAAAAGTGGACATCTATCACAAAAATCGTAATATACACATAGATTTCAGATGTATCACGAATAAAATGCGACCCCTGCAGGTCGGAAATTCACTTCATAGAGGCAACTCACGTAGGAATTTGTTTTGTGCTTTATACATGGGGACACAAAAATGACTAAAGGAAATATGCTACTCCAATTGCAACGTACTTTCTCCCTAAATATTTGTTTTCTTACCGCCTTGCTTGGCAGTACCTGAATTTTTGCCTTAGCGATGAACGATCGCCAAAGGCAAAGAGAAGGCAATGGATGCTGTATCCTGGCCGGGGTTTACCGACGTGCTTATAATGATAGCTAAACGTTCAGCATTTAGTGAAATGGCAACAACTGGTTCACCTGTTGTCAGTATAATGTGCCCGGATGGAATACTGTGCTGCGTGCCTTCGGAATGGTAATGCAATGAGATCGCAATCAAAAGCCGGCATCAGATCCGCGCTATCGCAGAGTGGCAAATACGCCAACATACCGCCTCTATCACACACACATACATAAGATACACTAGCATGCCCTTCCTTGTTAATAAGATGGCAAATCCAATAAAACAAAAACAGCTGCAACATAGTTAGGTAAGTGAAGTCGGAAATAATGGAAAAAAGTCATGTTAACAACCATACAGCAAAGTATGTTATATACAGCAAAGTATGTTATATACAGCAAAGTATGTTATATACAGCAAAGTATGTTATATACAGCAAAGTATGTTATTAAACAGCAAAATATGCTTTTATACAGCAAAGTATGTTATTATACAGCAAAGTATGTTATAATACAGCAAAGTATGTTATTATACTGCAAAGTTTGTTATTATACAGCAAAGTATGTTATTATACAGCAAAGTATGTTATAATACAGCAAAGTATGTTATTATACAGCAAAGTTTGTTATTATACAGCAAAGTATGTTATTATACAGCAAAGTATGTTATATACAGCAAAGTATGTTATATACAGCAAAGAATGTTATATACAGCAAAGTATGTTATTATACAGCAAAGTATGTTATTATACAGCAAAGTATGTTATTATACAGCAAAGTATGTTATTATACAGCAAAGTATGTTATTATACAGCAAAGTATGTTATTATACAGCAAAGTATGTTATTATACAGCAAAATATGCTTTTATACAGCAAAGTATGTTATTATACAGCAAAGTATGTTATTATACAGCAAAGTATGTTATTATACAGCAAAGTATGTTATTATACAGCAAAGTATGTTATTATACAGCAAAGTATGTTATTATACAGCAAAGTATGTTATTATACAGCAAAGTATGTTATTATACAGCAAAGTATGTTATTATACAGCAAAGTATGTTATTATACAGCAAAGTATGTTATTATACAGCAAAGTATGTTATTATACAGCAAAGTATGTTATTATACAGCAAAGTATGTTATTATACAGCAAAGTATGTTATATACAGCAAAGTATGTTATATACAGCAAAGAATGTTATATACAGCAAAGAATGTTATATACAGCAAAGTATGTTATTATACAGCAAAGTATGTTATTATACAGTAAGCCGCCCGTGTTGGTCATGTCTTAGGTAAAGTTACAAAAGAGTCTGCAGTTATTAAAAAAAAACCACAATCTTGATGTATCTGAAAATGGAAGTTAACGATTTAGTCTGTGTTACCTGTTCTGATAAACTCTTAGATATCCTTGTGTATATAATAAATGGTCGGGGTAAAGTTGAGCAATGGTGTTCCGCCGGGTATGTCTACAATCTACGGAGAATCTTGCCGAAGAAATCAACAAAGATAGTGTCAAACGAGAACTCAAACATTTCTCATTATTCCTTCCTCAGTATATACAATTTTTGCTTTTGTTTTGCTTTTAGCAAACTATGCTTCGAGATTGTTCACAGTAGAGTATTTCCATCGGCGTCCAACTTTCTTGAAAAAGAAATCTTTTAGAAATGACATGAATGGTTCAAGCAGTATGGTATGAGGTATATAGTTGTGTAAATCAACCTGAAAGAAGAAACGATTATGGGGAAAGGTTGTTCAAAATTGATCAAGTGTTTCAAAAAACCCCATCGATTGATACCCGTTTAGCAGTACACAGCGTCACAATACAACTGTTACCCAGCTTAACAGATACTAAGATTACTAATAAGAAATTTTGGTAATGGCTAACTAGAAGAACCACCGATAAAACGTTATTTATAGGAATGTTGTAAAGTTTCGGAATCCGATGCAAACAAGACAAGTCGGTATCTTTATTATTAGTCGGCGTGTGTTGGTATTGAAATGCAGCTGGGTTACACTCTAATGGAAGCTAAGAAACTTACATAGAGGATGCAAAGATATGTATTAGATTTAACACCTTCATATTGGGTTTTAACTGGCTAACACTTTTATGTTTTTAAAGTTGCGATATATTGACAATAATTGATGTTAGAGTTTTTAGATTTTCGAGACCTTTAAAAAGTGAAGTAAAACAATCTTACATACTTGTATTCTTCTTTGCCAAACCATGTCAGTTACGTTGAGTATGAGACCAAATGTTATCTCATAACCAACATCAACGAAGACGACACTTTTAACGGTTTAAGGTGTATGACCTACATATCGTACATGTCGTTACAAATAGTGTCTAATACATCATATTTGTTAAACGTTTTATCCATGTTAAACCAATACACTGCAGTCCAAATACTCTAACACCAGTAGACACATAGGAGTGAGAAACGCGTTACCTTCTCATTTGTGTTTTAGCAGGGTTTTCACCGGAATGATAGCATCGCCCCTGCGTTAAATGGAATAACGACTAAGTATATTTATATAAACCCTCCAAAGTAACTGTATTGTTCTGTTCAGTCGGGGAACTGTTCCCCATTAAAGATTCCAGTTCAAAGTTCGAGCATTTCTCATTGGTGGTAAGTCAAGCTGGTAAGTCATGCTAAAAGCATGGTTATACATTTCGCTCAACACCGTGATTGGAACCAAATAAAATCTTCAAGCATGATAATATACATTTTTGAATATTTTCCTAAACATTAATGGAAGGATTGAAATGTCTATTTTCAACTCCAAACTCTTGGAAATTTTTTAAGAAAATGTGGTTCACACCTTCATGCAAGTTAATAATCATCTGTATTCAAATATTTTTCAATAAAATTATGAAATTATTTAAGTTTGATTTTTTCCCCCTAATGATTGAACCATTATTATAAAAATCAAGGTTGAAGGTTTTTTTAAGCGTGTTAAACGTGTTATCAAATAGTTACATAGAAAAAGTGATCTAAATACATAGCTGATGGGTTCCTGGTGTTATCAAAAGTTAATGGAAAATGAATAACGATAATGTAGGTGAGCGTTAATTAACGGGCAGTGATAACATGTAACACCGAGGACCGATGTTTGTGACAGCAGATTATACTATGTACTGTAGGACAGGACGTCTAAGTTGCCTTGAAGTCTACGTTTTAATTGTTCTTAATGAAATCATGGCCTAATTTGTAAGCTACGTTTCCGTCTGTTAAAGATACAAGTGTAACATTATCACGAGTTCATCTTAATTATCATGTAAACAGCTCCTTGATATGCCTGGCATGTATACAGAAACACACACGTAATCAATGTCTATCGTACTGGGAGATGTAATGTTTTATGAATGTCGTGCGATTTTACGAAAACTGTAAATCATTTCATTTCCGCCTGTACTTTGTCTGTATGTCTTATTTGGAAAACTAAAAATCACAATTGAGATTCGTATTTAAATATTGTTATTAATTACCAAAATAGCTACATTCGCAGAACGTTTAAATCGCAAATTATTCTCCCTGCGAATTGACTCGAAAATCAATGTATCAAGTGATTACAGTACTTGTTGGAAATTACATTTCACAATACTTTTACGCGAGGATATTAATTAGCGGATTAAATAATAAGAATAGAGCGTTAAATGTATACATTTGCAAATTTTTCCAGGAACTGATATATTGCGAAATACAAGGGGTTTATACTCCCCTG